GGCCTCAGCCTCCCAAGTAGCTGGGATTACAGGCATGTGCCACCATGTCCAGCTAATTTTGTATTTTTAGTAGAGACGGTGTTTCTCCATGCTGGTCAAGCTGGTCTCAAACTCCCCACCTCAAGTGATCCACCCACCTCGGCCTCCCAAAGTGCTGGGATTACAGGCGTGAGCCACCATGCCTGGCCATTATTATTATTTTTTAATTGAGACAGAGTCTTGCTCTGTCGCCCAGGCTGGAGTACAATAGCACAATCTCGACTCATTGCAACCTCTGCTGCCCAGTGTGCCTCAACCTCCCAAGTAGCTGGGACTACAGGTGCGTGCCGCCATGCCTGACTAATTTTTTTGTATTTTTAGTAGAGATGGGGCTTCACCATGTTGGCCAGGCTGGTCTTGAACTCCTGACCTCAGGTGATCTGCCCGCCTCGGCCTCCCAAAATGCTGGCACTACAGGCATGAGCCACCTCACCCAGCCAATAAATTCATTTATTAAAGTACATTTTATATTTTTATTTCCCCAGTAGATTACGATTATGCAGGTAAGTTGCTTTTTGCTTGGGTATGATCCATGATTAATTTTCCTGTGCCTCCGGACTAGAAGTCATTAATGGGAAAAAGCCTTCCCACACCCCAGCCCAGCTCACAGGGTCAGACCACACAGGGCCGAACACGTTGAATACAGGGCACTCAGCATATGGACCCAATTTGAGGGTTTAGTAAACACCATGCATGAGAATAAGGAAATGCCTCTCTCAACACCCCAGCCCTAGCAATCATAGGTGTATTTAATTCTAGGGAATTAAATGAAACTTAATTACATAATTTTGTCACTACCTGGATTATTGCTGTGACTTCCTGCAAAACCTGAACGAGTCATCAATCAATTGTGGATTTGTGGTGGAAGAGGGCTTCCAGGAGTCACTGCGCCATTCCTGCCGCTAGACAGGGCTCCAGAGAGGAGTGCCTTACCTCTTCAGGGTCACTTTGGCCACTAAGCAGATGGCCAGCTGTCCGTGCTATGTGGCTTGAGATGTGTGATGTCAAAAACTACCCCTGCCTCCTCATGTCTCCCCGCCACGGCCAAGTTAAGGTGCCTGCCAGCCAGGCAGCTATGTCCATGAAAATGTTCAAGATAGGGAAAATGTCGTTCAGCAGAATTCCTCTCTGCAGAGTGCTGCCGGAGTTTGGAAGGGAAGTTTCCATAGGCTTCTTGAGGTTGGGGATTGGGAAATGAATCTACCAAGAGGCTTTGCTGGGTAACAAGAGCTGTTTGTTAAACCGAGTGAACAGCTTGGATTTTGCTGAATGGCCCAAGCGAGCTTGGAGCTTACACTGAGTAGTCAGACCAAGAGGAGTGGCGAGCCTCACACCCGCCCGCCCACAGCACTCAGACCTTCTACCAGGCAAAAGTGGAATGAATTGATCAAGAATGTGTTCTTCACTCACTCAGGTTTTTCACTCTGTGTTGAGTGGCATTCTTTCAGAATGGATACTTTGGGGGTGTCTTCCCAGTTCATGAACCAATAACCCCCTCTTCCTCTTAAAAGTGTCCTCCTCCCATGCACAGAGTGAGCCCCAGAATGTCAAATAGTATGTGACCAAGACCCCTGGAAAGGGATGGAGATAGGACCCAAGGGGGCCACAGTCTTCTCCTGCAAGAGTGAAAAATTGGGAGCAAAGAGAGTCCACAGTCCCCAGCACAGGTGTTATGGGATGGCAATCTTCCCCCAGCCCGTGGGCTGGAGAGCAGAGGAGACCTGTCTGCAGAGACAGAAAGAAAGAGAAGAAGAAAGCTGATTCAGAGGGAGAGGTGAGATGGAGATAAAGTCTTAGAGAGAGATTCCTGGTTCCAAGCCCTCCCAGAGGCTCAACTACTTCCTGCTCTTGGGTTCCTTAAAACACTTTCTATTCTTATAATAATTTTTTCCTTTTCTTTTTCTTAGTTGAAAATGAAAAATACAGAAAGAATTAGGGTTTGAAGCCCATTAGCCTTTTTGGGATGCTCCATATCTCAGTCCAACCCTGCCCTGAGGCCCATCTCTCCTTTCTGGTCAGAAATCTCTCTCATCCAAGCTACTTCTCTGAGTCATATAACAAAGGCAGAGGCATTTTCTAAGCAAGTCCAGTTAAAAATGTGTGTGTTTAGGCCAGATGCGGTGTCTCACGCCTGTAATACCAACACTCTGGTAGGCCAAGGCCAGAGGATCACTTGAGGTGAGGAATTTGAGACCAGCCTGGGCAACACAGTGAGACCCAGTCTCTAAAAACACAGACGCACAGACGCGCACACGCGCACGCACACCGCCCCCGCCCCCCCTCCACATACACACAGATTAGCTGGGCATGGTGGTGCATGTCTATAGTCCCAGCTACTTGAGAGGCTGAGGCCAGAGGATCGCTTCAGCCCAGGAGTTTGAGGCTGCAGTAAGCTATGATGTGCTACTGCACTCCAACCTGGGTGACAGAGAAAGACCCTGTCTCTTAAAGAAAAAAAAAAAAAGGTTAGGGGCGGTGGCTCGCACCTGTAAAATCCCAGCACTTTGGGAGGCCAAAGAGGGCAGATCATGAGATCAAGAGATCAAGACCATTCTGGCCAACATGGTGAAACCCCATCTCTACTAAAAATATAAAAAAAAAATTAGCCAAGCATGGTGGCATGCGCCTGTAATCCCAGCTACTCGGAAGGCTGAGGCTGGGGAATTGTTTGAACCAGAGAGGTGGAGGGTGCAGTGAGCTGAGATCGCGTCACTGCACTCCAGCTTGGGCGACAGAACCAGACTCCATCTCAAAAAAAAAAAAAAAAAAAAAAAAAAAGGTGTTTCAAGGAGGAAGGATCCCTGGGAGGTAAGGAGGAAGAACTGTCAGCTGTCAGCCCTCTCCTAACACCCCTGGGAAATTTAGGCTTCAGTTTCAAGGTCAGAATAGAGATTGCCCCCACTGGAAACCCTGAATAAATGTGTTGCTCTGAGGCTGAGAAAGGCTGGAAATACCAGCCAGGGTCAGCTGCAGCTCAGGCGGGGAGGCCCTAATGGAGGAACGGCTCGCCTAGGTAATCAGCCTGCTTCCAATATTGCCTTGGCCGGCCCTGCCTTTCTCCAGTGATCAACAACCTTTGTTTCCTGCCTTAAATAACAATAATCGTGTATTACATAGGTCCAAGGTCTGTGCCTTATTCACATTTGTATTCCCAGTGCCTGCACAGCACACTGCACAGAATAGACATTTAGTAAACGTTTGTTGGATAAGATGCTCTCCTGTATGTCCTACGTACGTATCTCAAATTCTATTCCGCTTTTGTCTGAATCTATTTTCTGGCTGGGCGCAGTGGCTCACACCTGTCATCCCAATACTTTGGGAGGCCGAGGCAGGTGGATCACTGGGCAGGTCAGGAGTTTGAGATCAGCCTGGCCAACTTGGTGAAACCCCCATCTCTACTAAAAATACAAAAATTAGCCAGGCTGGTGGCAGGCTACTCGGGACAGGAGAATCACTTGAACCCAGGAGATGGAGGTTGCAGTGAGCTGAGATTGCACTACTGCACTCCAGCCTGGATGACACAGCAAGACTCTGTCTCAAAAAAAAAAAAAAAAAAAACTACTTATGCTTCTGACCTGTTTCCACAATCTTCAGCCTTCATCAAAGGTTCTCTCTGTCCCTAGGCATCAACGCACAGAGAACATTAAAGAAAGGTCTCCACAGTCCCTGGCAAAGCCTAAGTCCCAGGCACCTGCAAGAGCAAGGAGGACAACCATGTATGCAAAGCCAGTGCCAGAGAACAATACCCTCAACATACAAACCCAGCCCAAAGCCCACGCCACCGGAGACACAGGAAAGGAGGCCAACCAGACAGCACCGGAGGAGCAGGACAAGGCGCCCGACACAGCACAGACGGCAGCATGGAAGAGCCCAGAAAAAGAGAAAACCACAGTGAAGACACTGTCACCCAGAGGGCAAGAATCAGGCACGGCCTCTGGCAGGACAGAGGCACAGTCATGGAAGAGCCAGGACACAAAGACGACCCAAGGAAATGGAGGCCAGACCAGGAAGCTGACGGCCACCAGGACAGTGTCGGTGAAGCACCAGGGCAAAGCGGCGACCACGGCCAAGACGCTCATTCCCAAAAGTCGGCCGCTTATGCTGGCCCCCACAGGAGCAGTGTCAACAAGGACAAGACAGAAAGGAGTGACCACGGCAGTCATCCCACCCAAGGAGAAGAAAGCTCAGGTCACCCCACCCCCTTCCCCTTTCCAGAGCCCCACGACGCACAGAAACCAAAGCCTGAAGGCTGCCAACTTCAAGTCTGAGCCTCGGTGGGATTTTGAGGAAAAATACAGCTTCGAAATAGGAGGCCTTCAGACGGTGAGTTTTTGCCACCACCCCTTCCCTCTGGCTCCCATGCCCACCCTCTCCTCAACTCCTGGGCTCTGCTTCTAGATTTGGTCTTGTCCTGCCCCAAGCTCATTATGAGGCAGAGCTCAGCCCTACAAGACTCTGCCCCACCCATCCTTCCAATGATGGCCACAATGGGGGAGGAGGAGCAGCAGGCCCCGGACCCCTGGTGTGAATGGCATAAGCGGGGTGAGTGAGATGGGACCTGCCCTGGAGCTCCTGAGGCCTGGAGGTCACCCATCTGGGGTAACAGAGTGTGATCTACTCTGGGGCTTGGCCCCTGAATCCCCATCCTCTCGCAGGGGCTGCAGGGGAGGGACTCACAGACAAGGATACCCCAAGCTCACGCCCAGCTCTGGCCTCCAGGAATGCCTTGTCTTCCCTGCAAAGCCAATTCCACAGCCTTCACTCTCTCCCAACCCTAAGGAAACAGTCTGACTTAACCACACCCGCCCACATGGTCCTTCTCACCTGTCCTTGCACAGAGGGGCAGTATCCAAAATGTGTATGTTGCTGGGTATACGCCTGCAGTCCCAGCTACTCAGGAGGCTGAGGCAGGAGGGTCACTTGAGGTTAAAGTGAGCTATGATGGTACCACTGCACTCCAGCCTGGGCAACAGAGTGAGACCCTGCCGGGAAGAAGGAAGGATCGACGGAAGGAAGGATGGAAGGAAGGGAGGGAGGGAGGGAGGAAGGAAGGAAGGAAGGAAGGAAGGAAGGAAGGGACGGAGGAAGGAAGGAAGGAAGGAAGGAAGGAAGGAAGGAAGGAAAGGGAAGGAAGGGAGGGAAGGGAAGGAAGGGAGGGAAGGGAGGGAAGGGAGGGAAGGAGGGAAGGAGGGAGGGAGAAGGCCCACAAAATGCACACGTTTATACACATATGACTGCAAGCATGGCCCTGACAGCACACCGGACACATGCCACATTCCCAAGATGCGGCCCCTCTCACACTTACAAAGGTGCATTTGCCTTGACGGCCGAGAACACCCATTTTCCAGAACCCTCAGGACCACAATGAGCCCAGACAATGGGGAGGGGAGGGTGAGCAGACCCTCAGAACAGGATGGAAGAGGTAGCAGAGGCTGTGCCTTCCAAACTGTGAGCCCCAGCCCTTCTTGCAGTGGTGCAGCTCCCGGCTGATGGCCTTTCTGGGTCTCTCCCTTCCTGACTTCGTCCTCCTACATATAGACTTGCCCTGACTCCGTGAAGATCAAAGCCTCCAGGTCGCTGTGGCTCCAGAAACTCTTTCTGCCCAACCTTACTCTCTTCCTGGACTCCAGACACTTCAACCGGAGTGAGTGGGACCGCCTGGAACACTTTGCACCACCCTTTGGCTTCATGGAGCTCAACTACTCCTGTGAGTCCTCACCCCAGGGGAGGGTGTGCAGTAGGCCGGGGCAGAGGGCAGAGGGCAGAGGGCAGCTGGCTTTCTGGTCCGCCTCTTCCCTGGGGTTTGCCAGACCTGGGAGGAATGAAGGGTCAGACTCTTGTCCCTCCCAGGGCTCTGAATACAGCACCTCCACTCTTGTTCCAGTGGTGCAGAAGGTCGTGACACACTTCCCTCCAGTGCCCCAGCAGCAGCTGCTCCTGGCCAGCCTTCCCACTAGGAGCCGCCGGTGCATCACCTGTGCCGTGGTGGGCAACGGGGGCATCCTGAACAACTCCCGCATGGGCCAGGAGATAGACAGTCATGACTACGTGTTCCGGTAAGCTGTCCCCACCCAAGCTCCCCTCTCCTGCCCCTCTCCTGCCCCTCTCCAGCCCCTCTCCAGCCCCCTCTCCTGCCCCTCTCCTGCCCCTCTCCAGCCCCTCTCCAGCCCCTCTCCTGCAGACAGGGACTCTTCTGAGAGACCCCTAGGATGTTCCACGGCTGCATCTGGAAGGTGGAATTCCTGGGCTCTCCAGAGAATCTCAGCACGAAACTGCTACCTCCCCCATTTCTCCTTCCTTTCCCCATCCACCTACACAAATCTCCCTCCTCTGCTCACCTGTTCCATCTGATTGTATCTTTCTGCACAGATTGAGCGGAGCTCTCATTAAAGGCTACGAACAGGATGTGGGGACTCGGACATCCTTCTACGGCTTTACTGCCTTCTCCCTGACCCAGTCACTCCTTATATTGGGCAATAGGGGTTTCAAGAACGTGCCTCTGGGGAAGGTGAGCAAAGAGGAAGGAGCCTGGCCACAGCCAGACTCCGGATGAGGGAGCGCACAGGGGAGAAGCGAGAGGAGAGGCTTTCCTCTGGATGGAGTCTGCATGAAAGGGCAGGAGTGGGGAGGACAGTGAGACCAGTCCAGGGGAGAGCAAGTGGGCAGCTGGAGTCAGAGCTGGGCCCCAGCTGGTTGTCCTGAGGCAGGACTTTTGGGCCACTCCCTGTCCTTGGTCCTCAGGACGTCCGCTACTTGCACTTCCTGGAAGGCACCCGGGACTATGAGTGGCTGGAAGCGCTGCTTATGAATCAGACGGTGACGTCAAAAAACCTTTTCTGGTTCAGGTACCCATTTTCCTCCTGCCCTCCCCTTATCCCAGGCTGAGCCATGTCGTGAGTGGCTCTAAAGGGTTGGACAGGTGGGGACAGCCTTAGCTATCACCTGGAGATGGGATACCAGTCATGCTCATGACCCTGACTTGGCCCACCCCAGGCCAGGTAAGGGAGCTGGGTCTGAATGACCCCTTCCTAACCACAGGCACAGACCCCAGGAAGCTTTTCGGGAAGCCCTGCACATGGACAGGTACCTGTTGCTGCACCCAGACTTTCTCCGATACATGAAGAACAGGTTAGAGCAGAAAGCACATGACACGTAGCCCAGGTCCCTGTTATCCTTGCAGCCTCCTGACAGTTGGGGGCTTGGGGCATTTCACAGGTTTCTGAGGTCTAAGACCCTGGATGGTGCCCACTGGAGGATATACCGCCCCACCACTGGAGCCCTCTTGCTGCTCACTGCCCTTCAGCTCTGTGACCAGGTAAGGCTCCACTGCAGCTACAGAAATACCTGAAGAAACAGCTCTGGAGCTATTCCTGGGCCTGCTCAGCATAGGACAATGGATGGGCTGGGTGCACAGCCCTGGTGGGAAGGAGGGTGGGCATGAGTATGGGTGCATGCAGTTATGTGTGCGTGTCCAGGGACCTGCACCCAGACCCCTAGGGATGGTGCCGGGGAAAAGAACCCCCACCCCTCAACACAGAATTAGCCATGAGAAGAAGCCTGGGCGACAGCAGCTACAAGCCCTGTTTCTCCTCCAACCTTGATGTAGGTGAGTGCCTATGGCTTCATCACCGAGGGCCACGAGCGCTTTTCTGATCACTACTATGATACATCATGGAAGCGGCTGATCTTTTACATAAATCATGACTTCAAGCTGGAGAGAGAAGTCTGGAAGCGGCTACACGATGAAGGGATAATCTGGCTATACCAGCGTCCCGGTCCTGGAACTACCAAAGCCAAGAACTGACCGGGGCCTGGGCTGCCGTGGTCTCCTTGCCCGCTCCAAGGCACAGGATACAGTGGGACTCTTGAGACTCTTTGATCATTTCCCAGGGCTCAGACCAAGCTCCAAGCCCTTCAGGAGTTCCAAGGGAACACAGCTCTCTCAAGATGGCAAATGGCTAAGTAAGGTTCTGAAGTTCTTCAGTACACGGCTGTCGGTCCTGGTGCAGATTCCTGAGGCCAGGGATTTTTAACAGAATGGGGTGATGAGTGGTGAATACCACAATTCCTGGTGAAAAACACTCTTCCAGCCCAAAAGCTTCTTGATGCAGAGAAAAGAGCCTGGATTTACAGAAACATATAGATCTAGTTTGAATTCCAGATCAAGTTTGCAGTTGTGAAATCTTGAAGGTATTACTTAACTTCACTACAGATTGTCTAGAAGACCTTTCTAGGGGTTATCTGATTCTAGAAGGGTCTATACCTGTCCTTGTCTTTAAGCTATTTGACAGCTCTACGTGTTGTAGAAAACTGATAATAATACAAATGATTGTTGTCAATGGAAATGCAAATAAATTTTGTACAGTGAAGATGCACCTTAGTTGTCACTCAGTGAATAGGGACCAGTTTTGCACGTGGTCCCTTTCATTCTTCTATTCTCCCCATTAACCTGCTTTCTTTCTCAAACCCCCACGACGAGAACTGAGCTAAGCCAAAGACATTTCAGTTCATCTTACCCTTTGAGCTCTATCTGCATGATTTGGACTCTGGAGCCTGGAACAACCCCTAACAATTCTAAATAAAATAAAGTGGCCAAGCACGGTGGCCGGTAATCCCAGCACTTTGGGAGGCCGAGGCAGGCAGATCACTTGAGGCCAGGAGATCGAGACCAGCCTGGCCAACATGGTGAAACCCCATCTCTACTAAAAATACAAAAGTAAGCCGGGCGTGGTGGCGGGCACCTGTAATCCCAGCTACTCGGGAGGCTGAGACAGGAGAATCACTTGAACCTAGGAGGCGGAGGTTGCAGTGAGCTGAGATTGCACCACTGCACTCCAGCCTGGGCGACAGAGAGAGACTCCGTCTCAAAAAATAATAATAATAAATACATAAGTAAATAGAATAAAGGACCCTTGGTAGGAGAGTGGAAGCGAGACAGAGGAGCTACCCTTTAGACTTCATTGGTAGAGGGGACCAATGGGACAGGGATTTGCTTTGCATGAAAAGGGTGCAGTGCCAGCTCCGGGCGGCAGGTGGCGGCAGCTCGGCGCCCTGTTGTTCGCGGGGCCCTGTCCTCCGCGGCACCCCAGGCTCCTTAGTTCTGCACACGGGTGGAAGGAAGCGCCACCCACGTGCAGAACTCCGCCACTGTGGCTTCTATACACCGCGAACCTTGGGATGGACACAGCCGATTTGGCAGGGCGCTGATCGGGGGTGCGCTTGGGGAAGAAGGGCCATTGGCGCCACTGCCGCAGGTGCTTTCGCGTCGGCCCCTCCAAAGGAGGAGCTTGCGCGCGTGGGCCGGGCGGCTGTCAGCCTCTGCCCCGCAACCTGAAGGACCGAGCTGCGTGCGGGGCTGAGAGAGGTGCCGGCAGGGAGCGGAGAGTGAGGCGAAGACACGAGGTTCTAACCATCCCCGGGGCTGCAGGCCCCAGCGCGACAGGCCAGAGGCTGGGACCGGACGGGGTCCGGGAGTTTGCAGGGGGTTGGGGGCGGGGGGAGGCGGCGGCTCTGTGCTGGCAGCTGAAGGTCGGATCCGCCCGGGTTGCCCCCTTCCCGGTGCCCTGCACCCTGCAAGAGGCGGGTGGGCCCCGGACCACCCCGGGGAGACCAGGCCAGGGGCGTTTGCAGCCTAACCCCAGCTTATCTGGTCTGAAGAGCAATAAATGCTTTTCCCCAACAAAGCTCTAGTCACAACGACTTTGACAGGGTGGACACCACATCAGGTCAGAGCAGGAGAGAAAATGAGTAGCCACGGGCAGAGAGCCCCTTACCCCCATATTGGCCTCCTCAAATTTAAACTCAGGCTACCTAAACTTAAGGACTGAGCCTCACTGAGTCTACTCTGTGTCCAAAGTGGAATACACTGATGGGTTAGCTCACTCTGCTAGTATAAGCCAATAGAATTAGAAAAGATAGGTCAATTAGAGGCATAAGAATTAGAAAAAGAAGAGGAAAACTGTGATAAATAGGCTACATATTATAGTAAGTTAGCAGATATAAGATTAACATATGGAAATCAATAACTCATAAACATAAATCATAACCAAGTAGAGGATATAATGTAGAGAAAACCCATTTACAAGAGCAGCAATGTCTGTCTGAGGAAAACATTAAAACACTCCTGAAAGACACAGAAGCAGATCTGAATAAGCCAAATCATCTGATGTTCTTGGAAAAGATGACTCAATATCATAAATACGTCAGTTCTCGGCAAGTTAATTAATAAACTTAATGTGATTCCAATAAAATGCCAAAACATGTTTTCTAGAGCCTAAACTGATACACATATTCATATGGAGGATAAAAATGTAAGAAGAGCTAGGAATACCTGCGAAAGAAAAGTTATGAGAGGTCTACCTCTACCAAATATTCAGACATATGATAAAGTCTGTATAATTAAAACAGTGTGGTACTGAAGCAGGAATAGACAGACCAGTGGAATGGAATAGAAGGTCCAGAAATAGACCCAAGCCCTGTGATTAATGGTGCTCAGATAGCCAAGTGGTCATTTAGAAAGAAATCAAACTAGGTCTGTAACTCCCATCAACAATTAAATTCCAGATGGTTCGGAGATCTAAATGTAAAAAAATGAAATGACGGAGGCCGAGGCAGGCGGATCACAAGGTCAGGAGTTCGAGACCAGCCTGGCCAATATGGTGAAACGCTATCTCTAATAAAAACACAAAAAATTAGCCAGGCCTGGTGGCACGTGCCTGTAAATCCAGCTACTCAGGAGGCTGAGGCAGGAGAATCACTTGAACCCAGGAGGTGGAGGTTGCAGAGAGCAGAGATCACAACATTGTACTCCAGCCTGGGTGACAGAGCAAGACTGTCTCAAAAAAAAAAAAAAAAAAGAAAGAAATGACAAGAGTTCTAAGAATTCATAGGTAAGTAGCTCTTTGACCAGAATGTAAGAAAAAGATTTCTAATTAGGACTCACAATCCAAAGGCAATATAAGACTGGTAAATTTTACTATATAAAATTAATAAAATGGGCCAGGCACAGTGGCTCATGCCTATAATCCCAGCACTTTGGGAGGCCAAGGTGGGCAGATCATGAGGTCAAGAGATGGAGACCATCCTGGCCAACATGGTGAAACCCGATCTCTACTAAAAATACAGAAATTAGCCAGGCATGGTGGCGCATGCCTGTAGTCCCAGCTACTCAGGAGCCTGAGGCAGGAGAATTGCTTGAACCCGGGAAGCTGAGGTTGCAGTGAGCCAAGATGCATTTCAGCCTGGTAACAGATCGAGACTCCGTCTCAAAAAAAAAAAGAAAACAAAGAACATTAATAAAATGTTGCATGATGAAAAAAATCACCATGAGGTCAAAAGACAAAAAGTGGGAGAAAATATTTGCCATATATATCATGGATAAAGGGTGTGTATATATATAGAAAGAGAGAGAGTAAAGGACTTTGAGGAAAATAGACCGAAAACCAAATCAAAAAATAGGCAAAAAAATATGAACAGCAACTCCCCAAAAAAGATGTAAAAATGATTCTTAGACATGTGAAAAAAATGTTCAGTTTGACTCATAGTAAGAAATGCAGGCCAGGCGTAATGGCTTACTCCTGTAATCCCAGGACTTTGGGAGGTTGAGGCAGGAGGATCACTAGAGGCCAGGATTTCAAGACCAGCCTGGGCAACAAAACAAGACCCCCGTCTCTATTAAACAAAAACAAGGAAAAAGAAGAAAAGAAAAGAAAACCTTTCAACAAATTAAATTTAGAAGATTTGTTGAGCAAAGAAACAGTGAATCAGGCAGCACCCTGAACCAGTAAAGGTTCAGAGAGCTCTGCCCAGCGACCTGGGTAGGCAGTACTTATAGACAGAAAAGGGAAGTGATGTACAGAAACAGCTGGATCAGGCCGGGCGCAGTGGCTCACGCCTGTAATGCCAACACTTTGGGAGGCCGAGGTGGGCAGATCACCTGAGGTCGAGAGTTCAAGGCCAGCTTGACCAACATGAAGAAACCCCGTCTTCACTAAAAATACAAAATTAGCCAGGCGTGATGGCACGTGCCTGTAATCCCAGCTACTCAGGAGGCTGAGGCAGGAGAATCACTTGAACTCGAGGGGCAGAGGTTGCAGTGAGCCGAGATCGAGCCATTGCACTCCAGCCTGGGTGACAGACCCAAGACTCTGTATAAAAAAATAAAAATTAAAATAAAAAAATTTTTAAAAACCTAACAATATTAAAACCTAATTCATAACCCCACAGAAGGGGCAAAACAATATTTCAATTATATATCCTCAGAATAAAGACAAAAAGGATAACAAACATTGAACTCTAGTTGGTGGGGAGGTTTGTTTTTGTTTTTTTTTGTTTTTTTTTTTGAGACAGAGTCTCGCTCTGTCGCCCAGGCTGGAGTGCAGTGGCCGGATCTCAGCTCACTGCAAGCTCCGCTTCCCTGGTTCATGCCATTCTCCTGCCTCAGCCTCCCGAGGAGCTGGGACTACAGGCGCCGCCACCTCGCCCGGCTAGTTTTTTGTATTTTTAGTAGAGACAGGGTTTCACCGTGTTAGCCAGGATGGTCTCGATCTCCTGACCTCGTGATCCACCCGCCTCGGCCTCCCAAAGTGCTGGGATTACAGGCTTGAGCCACCGCGCCCGGCCGGGAGGTTTGTTTTTCACACTGCTTTATCATTCTGAAGCCACTTGCAATGAATTATAGGATTCTACAAATAAGAAAATATGTTAAGGAAAATGGGACTCCTGTGTCTCATTGTCAAAAAAAGTTACAATTATGGAAAGAGGCAAGACGATAATGAACAATGAACCCTCGGCGTTAGACTAGAATTAAAGGTATCAGTATGAACTTGTGGTTTTAGATCTAAAGAAAGACATCTATCGGTGGGGATCTGCCTATAAACATGCACACACGTATACATGTATTCCCTGGATCTGTCAAGGAATCGAGTCCAGAATCAACGAAACTCCGTTAACAGTGAGCACGTGTAATCTTGGGTTCCTAGATAGCATTCTTCAGTATAAGCAACCACGGCTCCTTACAGAGAAATGGCTGATTCCAGGGCTGGGGTAGGGAAGGTACAAAATGAACCTGGAACATTTTATGGTTCTAGAAAGTAAGGAAGTGCTTAAAGAACGGGACACATCAAAAGAACACAGAAGTCAGCCTGAAGACGCTCCCACTGGCTCAATACAAGATTATTTGAGAATGAAAATTGGTAATGATGGTAATGAATTTCAACACATTCAACAAATGGTAATCTAGGAGTCCATACTGATATAAATAAACACATACACACACACATAAGAAAGAAAATCTTTTTCTTTTGAGGCAGGTCTCACTCTGTCATCGAGACTGGAGTGCAGTGGTGTGATCTCAGTGCACTGCAACCTCCACCTC